AATTCACAAGTATTTGGATAAACTAAATTTTCAGCATAGTAAATGAATAGGCTGAATATACTGTAAATCGACACTAACTACTCTGTGTATTTAACAGAAAGCACTTAAATTTGTATTGTCTTATGTTAAAAAGATTATTAAGAAGATTTAAAAGAATATTAAAAAGATTTTTCTTTAAAAGATGTCTAATGTACAAAACTGCTAATGTTTATCTTTAAAAATGTCTAATTTTTAGTATAATCTATACTATACACTAAATTTGGTTATAAATAAATTTCTTAATAATATCACTGCAGATTTTCAATAACACATGAAAATGAATACATAATATTACAAAAGATGTGAGTTTTCAAAAGTACAAGATTTTGGTTACTATTCAAAATATAAGTGTTTCTTCAAAATTTTAATTTATTTTTTCTAGAACATATTTAGAAACACTATCCTTTAAAAAATATATAAATTTTATGTATTAATTAAATGTCACATATGAATATAGGTTTTTGACATTTTCGACCGTGAGGTTTTTGACGTGACGGTTTAAACCATGGTTTAAACTGTCAAAAACTGTCACATGTCAAATACCTGCCAACCCTGATTAAGGGGTTCAAACTTCGGACCGTACTCCTGACCAAACTATGGGGACCATATTTCCAAGATTGCGGCTACCTGCCATATTTTGGGAGTCAGGAATTCAAATCATTTTAAGAAAAGGGATGTGTTTTCGTAACTTTAAATATCGCCTGTACTAATTAATTAGCATATTTGAGGCTACCCCTCGTTTCATTAAGGTTGAGTCCTAGAACGTGAAGATCTGATCGTTAGAAGCTATTTAGGGTTATTTGTTGTTTTTTTTCTCGCACCGTTCTCTCTTAGATGTTTTTACGCGACATATTTGTCTGTGTTTTTGCTGACCAATAATATCATTTAAATTTTCAGCAATCTTAATGATGGGGCTTAATCGAGTCGCATTACCTCATTTTTTTACGGTACTATGGTTCAACCTGAACGAGAACATAGTTCATTTTATCATCTTATCAAGATTGATGCAAATCTGCATGGTATTATGGTTCAAGGTTACACGCACCAATTTTTCTGAGAGAAAAAAAAATTGTTTTACAGCATGGACAATACGAGACTTTTCAACAATACGAGAACTATTTAGTTCTTCGTGTTTACGCATAAAATGTAGTTCTATTGTTCTCTTTCAGTACATTATTCAGTAGACTCATTTTATGAGAACTTGGCCTGTAGAAGCGATAAAACAGTTTATATAATACCTTCTATTTGATAAATGTAGATATAATATTTTCATAAGTATGACAGATAAAGTGGAATGAGGAATTTCATTCAAATCGTGACATTTTTTGGGCACTATCAGCTCTTTATTTTCCTTATCTTTATAGAAAATGCGTTGTATATAATTGAAATTTTAATTATCAGAAATCGAGGAATACTATATTTAGTATAACATTTGTTTCTGTGAAATTGTTATACTAAAATTCGTAGCAATTTATGCACAGAAAAAAAAGTATGGTCAAAATTACCAAAATGAGGTAAAATTTAATGTGCTTATGCATCTATGGGGACACCAAAAAAAAACTCGGTTATTGTTCCCGAAACGAGTTGGTAATAATTTTGATAAAATTTACAATAGAATTTGATTTTAAAATGTGTGATAAAATTTGGTAACTGTGGAAAAATTCGGTAATTTTAATATGATATCTTACAGCATGGCATAAAAAAAAATTTTTTTGGTTGAATTTATTCTTCAATTTTGCGCTTTTTTTCATGTGTGTTAATACGAACAGTAATTTTTAAAACCAGAATTCCAGCTAAACAGTTACTATATGGAAGAAATACCGTTTATTTTGGTTTTATTAACCATAATTATATGGTTTTCTGTTTAAAAACGTCACTACGTCATAGTACGGTAATTTTATCAGAATTTGTTTCTCCGTGCAGTAACAATACATAAAATAAGGACTGTTTAGATTTTTTTTAAAATTTACATTGCTGATGCGTTAATTCAAAACCCTACTTTAAACAAGTGGTTTGATCAAAGATTAAAATGGTCATCGAATTGAGAATTTTTAATAAATCAAGCTTTTGATTGGGGAAAAAACCAAGTCAATGTAACAGTTTGCCCAGTACAGTTGATTACAAAATAGAAATTTTCAAATTTATCATAAAATTTTTATAAAATTTAATACAATTTTAATAAATTATAAAATAAATTTAATAAATAATGAATTTAAAAATTTTTATTAACTATACAATAATAAAAATTTATAGGAATATATATTTATGTAAAATTCATTGATTATATTTACACATATTATATTTATCTATATCATATTTATATATTGAAGTAAAAAAAATTAAAGGAAAAATTTTTAAACCCAATAAGAAAAAAAAAAAAAAAAANAAAGAGGGGAGGCGGAAAAATTTAAAATAACCGTTAAAATTTTTCACGGAAAACGATTTGTTATTTTCGCACGATGTTCTTATAAACTTTCAATTCTTAGACTTCTCGGTAAATTTTTTTTTTTTTTTTGTTAACTGAATAAACGCTTTTTACAAATACACCTCTCTTAATCTAAAGATGAACTTTTGCTTCATTTAAAATTTAAAGAGTATTTTTTTAACATTCATCATTAATAATGAATACTCGTAATTGCTTTTACGTTTAAGAAATTATGGAAAGTATTAAATCATAATTTCAGTCAAATTCGCTAAACCTCACTATGGTGTCAGTTTGAACCACATTAACAAGCAAATCAACTTGATCGGGAACTTAATTCAATTTAACACTTTATCAAGGTTGTAAAGTCGATTGAAGGTTGAACCGATTTTATCGAGATTGTACTTTACCATATTAAAGCAAGACTGAATTTATGAAAAATAATAGGGTATTTAGGAAAAGGTTTAATATTTTAAAGAGATTTCGAAAAAGTGGTGATGAAAACGTTTAGTAGAAAAATTAATTCTAGGAAAAAGTTTTGCATGAAACATTTGTTTTATGCAAGGAAGTTTGGACTTAACTGTTTTTCTCATTTTCAAATATTCTAATTCTCTGAGCTCCATCTAAATTATTTTGAAATTTCGTGATTTTTATTCATTTATTATTTCTTTTTAATGCAAACAATTCTTTTTAATATAATTTTGGGATTTTTTATTAAGCTTTTAGTTTAGAAGTTTGAACCTTTTAAGGTATTTTGGTCTTTAAGAAATTATAACACTTTTTTATTTTTTTTTATCTACATGTAATAAAAAGTTTTGTATAATTCTTTGTTAAGTCTTAGAAACAACTCAAAGAAAGTTATTACAATCATTTCAATAAATTAATAAAGTACTGAATTTAAAATTACAGCACTAAACTCAATTAATAAACAACCACCATAATTTACAGCACTTTTTTTAATAAAAACAATCCTTTAACAATAGTTTTGAGTTTTTTTACTAAAATTTTAGTTTTGAAGCTCGAATCTTGTAAAGTATTTTGCTCTTTTAGTAATTTTAATCCCTTTTGTTTTTACTATATGTTATGAAAAGTTTTGCACTATTAAGTTCACCATTATTAACTCCAAGAAAGCTATTTACAAATCAGAACAATCATTTTAATGAAATAATAAAGCACTGATTCTAAAATTACAGCACTAAAACGATGCTTTTTTATATAAAAGTAACAAATAAATAAGCAAAAAGGGAGGATTCGAACACTTGCTTTACCTAAATTTTACAATTCAATAATTTGAAGCATTTGGTTCAGATAATTCGTATTGAATTTTCATTGAATACGAATAAAAAAAATTATAATACTTATGTTAGAAATTTGGGGAGTGTTGGACAGCATTATCAATAAAAAAATTTTGTCAATTTAATACGGCGTCAATTTAAAAATTATGGTCACGAGAATTTATTTTTATTTAACTTAATTACGTCATAATGCAATTAAACTACAACGGGATAACTTAATTATAGTTGCAGCAAATTTGCCCGGTATTATGTTTCAAGGAAGCGATATTGTAGTTCAACCTTGAAACAATTTTTTTGAGGGTGTTATTATAATAAAAAGTTTAAACATTAATTTAAAAAATTTTTAATTTTTTTTAATATTTTTCATTAAATACGATACAAGTTAAAAATTATATAAACAACACAGAATAGCGTTCACGATATTATGTAAAAAAGTTTATAAGATACTATTCGTTAATATTTTTAATAATAAGTATTTTAATGCAAAACGCAATATTTAATTAACAGTTGATATGAATAAATGTTATTTGCATAGAAATAAAAACCTCCGATGTAATATTTGGTTTAACAAGCAATGTTTTTTTTCTTCTTACAGTTAAGAAATATTTTATACACATGTTTCTTAATTAATTTTAATATGAATTTCCTTTCCTGAAAGCTTCAATTGCACAACATTTCACATACTTCAATTACATGAGTTTCAGATAATTTACCTCGAATTGTAATTAAAAGGTAACCTAACCTTCATCCTTTAAAAATATTATAAAACAACGATTTACATAAATTATGAAATTTCGAAAAGATTTAAATGTGTCTCGTTAAAATTAACTTCAACTTATTTTTTTAATTTAGTTTTGAAAGTTTTTTTTTCTAAACTAAGAACTTTAATTCATAATACATTATTTCATATTAAATTATTTTTCTCATTTTTTATTTATCTGTTCAATCATTTACTAGAGTGTTGTGTAATTCAATATATATATATATACATATTGAATTACACTATATATATAATTATACAAATAATAAATTTATAAGTAATAAACACATAAAAAGAGAGTAAATTTACCTCATTTTTCATGATTTCATATTATTTATGCTGCCTGATTTTAATGTATCATTGAGTAAATTTGTAATTTCAAATAAATAAATTAATCTAACTAAAATATTGATTATGATTAATGAACAAATGTAAAAATAACAAACATATAAATAATTAACAAATAACAATAAAGCAAATTTACCCGTGAAAAACTCCTGTTATATTTTTCAAATATTCTAAAAGCAAGCCATGGTAGAGTGCAAGCGTGCTATTCCATGCAAAGTAGAACTAAAGATGCGACACCATAAGCTTTCACGTGTTAATATAAATAAACACATAATAAAAACTACCGCATGAACGGCGATAAATATACGTGAGAGCGACGAAAACTGTTGCGGTCTATCCAAAATAACACTGACAACAAATCTCGACCCGACGAAGTGCTGAACTAAACCACGATCTGACCGTACGTTCCTTCGGTCGCTAACAAAAAGAAACTAAAAATGATAAAAATAATTTTCCCCCTCTGTGTGTATGAAAACTTGCAAGGAGGGGGTGGGGAAAGCACTTCGTATGGTTGCCATGACGTAACCCGTAAATTTTATTCTATTTATTTACTTTTTTCTTTTTATTATTATTATTCTATCGCCAAAGTTGCAATCAGTGGACCTTCGGAAAAAGTTTGTGAAGAGATTGAAGGAATGTTAAGAGATTGGCTAGAGTAGATTTCTCGTATTCTGGGCGGAGTAGAAATGATAGGAAAAAAATAAAAAAGATATGGATAAACGTATAGTGTTTTGTGTATTGCTGCCATTCAATGAGCTTTTGTTGAAGTAAGGAGGCCTATATTAGGGGGAGCCCACAGCTGCAGTTGTTGATGCTCATTTTTTTTTACTCAATAAATATCGTTTGGTATTGAATGTTACTGGAATTGGGGGAAATTCCTTTCCGATAAGAAAAAAAAGTGGACATAATTTTTTTTTTCCTTCTACCTGCAGTAGACAGTTTGAAAAGGGTTTGACATTTGAATGGCAAAGAGCTCTTTCCACACTTCTCTAAACTTAATAATTCGAATTTTTATTTTATTCGTTATTATTTCCTTAAAAAAAATTATTTATTAACTAATTTATACTTAGTATTCATTTTGAAATTATATTTCATACAAACATTTAAATCGCGGCAAATAAATGAATTATTATATATTTATTTATTTATTCTCATTTTTCCACACTTCTCTAAACTTAATAATTCGAATTTTTATTTTATTCGTTATTATTTTCTTTTAAAAAAATATTTATTAAATAATTTATACTCAGTATTCGTTTTGAAATTATATTTCATATAAACATTTAAATCGCGGCAAATAAATGAATTATTATATATTTATTTATTTATTTATTCTCATTTTTTTTCCTCAATAAATATCGCTTAGTATTGAATGTTGTTTGGAATTCGGAAAAATTCCGCTCTAATAAAATAAAAAATAAAATGAATAACAGCATTTTTTTTCCATATTACTAGAGGTAGGCAATTAGAAAAAAGTTTTTCATTTACACTGCGAAGCATCTGTCATTTGCACCCTTTCCACAATTTTTAAAACTTAATAAATCGAATTTTCATTTTATTCTTTAAAAAAATATGTACTGTTAAATAATTTTTGCTTAAGTTTCGTTTCGAAATAGAATTTATAGAAATCTCTAATAAAAAAATAATAACAGCATTTTTTTTTTTTTTTTTAATCTTACGAGAGGCAGACAATTTGAAAAGGGTTTGCCATTTAAATGGTTAACATATTCCCCTTCCCCACTGCTCAAAACTTTATAATCCGAATTCTCACTTTATTCGTAAGGTTTTATTATTATTTTACTAAAAAAATTTATTTTAAATACTTTAAATATTATAATGTAAATAAATTTCATACTAACTTCTAAATCGCTGCAAATAAATAAATTATTATATATTTCTTCATTCTCATTTCCCTAAATAAATATCATTTAGTACTGAGAATTGATTGATTGAATTGGGAGTAATTCCTGTCTAATTAAAAGTAAAAAAATAATTCTAATTCTACCTGATGTAGACTGTTCGAAAAGTGTTTGCCATTCGCATGGAGAAAAGTATTCCCTTTCCACACTTCTGAAAACTTAATAATTCGAATTTTTATTTTATTCGCTAAGTTATTATATTTTCTTTAAAAAAATATGTATTAAATAATTTGTGCCTAATTTTCGTTTTCTAATAGATGTCATCTAAACACTTAAATAAATGCCAATAAGTAAATTATATGATAATTTATTTATTCTCATTTTTTTCTCAATAAATATCGCTTAATATTGAATGTTGTTGGAATTAGGGAAGATCCCTTGCTTATTAAAAAAAAATTATGAAAAGTATCTTTTATTTTCTTTAAAAAAAAACATCAAATAATATTTTAGTTTGGATATAAAAATCTGCATCTGTATGAGAAGCTTATTTTATGAGCGCAGTACAAAATTTTCATAGTTGTGACGACTTATCAGTTTCACATTTTAAATAAAACAATTCTGAACTATATATCTTATATGCACTCTTAATTCCTTGCTTACGTCTTTTTCTGCTACTCAAATATATTTTACGAGTATTGTTGTCTTTATTTTCTTTTTTTTTCTTCTAGTTTTATTAATTTTGAAGTCTAAGAGCAAATCCGACAGTTCACTTTTTTCATAACCATAACCTGAAACACAAAATGTTCCAAAAAAAGCATGACACTTAAGAGGACGCTATACCTTGGAAGAAACTATTCGTCGCAAATTCTCTTTCACCTTGATAGCTATTTAAAAATAATGAAATTAAAAAGAAAGAAAAAATGATTTCAGGAAAACCTAAGCTTCAGTTGTTAAAAAAAATTTAAAAATATGAAAATGCAAACCAATTATTGGAAGAGAACTTCGCCGTTGCGTAATCCTTAGTTATCTTCTCATAATTTATTTTCATTTTCATATTTCTAAAAAACAACTTCAGTATTTGAAACGTTATGGCTTACTCTAGGTTGGTCTGAATTCACTTTTTCTATACTTTAAATTAAGTATGGAGCTAAAAGAGAATTTACAACTAAAAATTTCTCCCGTGGCCTTCGATAGTCTATCACATTGCGTCGGGGAGCATAATAAAATGTGTCCTCAAGCATGGTAATCCTTAGCTATGTCCCTGTTCTAGCTATGTCATGGTAATCCTTAGCTATGTCCTTGTTCTCATCTAGCTATGCCATGGTAATCCTTAGCTATGTCCTTGTTCTGTAGTATGAATTTTTATTTAGAAACAGAAACTCTACGCTTTTCAAAACAAGTTCAAAATCTTTTTAATAGAACACAAACTTGAACATGCTTTACATGAATTCCTTATAACGTGATATAATTCTTGATTTACTAACAAATTGAATGCGAATCTAACGTTCTTAAGAACTACATTAATACTTTAAAACAATATATTTATCTACAATTGAATTTACTTACCCGGTGAACTTACCCTATTGGAAAAAATTCGCAAAAAACCAGTATCAAAAACCAGTAAAGATGATACCAGAAGCAGTATGACCATATCGGAAATTTAAAACCTGGTATGAAACTACACCGGAAATTTTAAAACCTGGTACGGCACCACACTGGAAATTTTAAAACTAGTATAGCACCATACTAGAAATTTTAAAACTAGTATAGCCCCATACTGGAAAGTTTGAAACCAGTATGTCGCCACACTAGAAATTTAAAACCAGTATGTATACTGGAAATTTTGATACCAGATTTCAAACATACTGGGAATTTTGAAGTAGTTTTAAGATATATTTACTTAAATTCTTAGTAAGTACATATTTTTCTGGAAATCTAACAGTTTCGACATTTTTAATCTCTTTCTTTTTTTTCTTGATTATATACTAATTTCAAATAATAATTTTCTTAGATTTTTATAAGAATTTTTAACCTATTACTTTTAACACAAATAAAAATTTCATTTCCTCTCCCAAGGCAATGATTACTCATGATTAATCAATAAGAGTAGGTATTTCTGAAATCTATCACTATGTCTACTAATATATTCTACTGTTATTGATTACTTCATCACTACAACTAAGGAATGGGGTACGTTCATGATTGAACTATCATTAATAATATGAAGACAGCCCTTTTGTATTTTAAGTATCAATATAGAGTTATCTTTCACCTTTCAGGAGATAATATAGATAACATCTTGTGAATGTGAAGAAGTAGAAAAATGTTTCTTAGAATGAATATAGATTGGAATTCAAAACCTTCCATAGAAATTCGAATGAGATAGTTATTTTTCCCACACTCTAGCAGGTTATTCAGAAAAATTGGTATCAGATTCATTAATTTTAAGAGTTGAAGATTGAAACACGCAGTAACTAAGTTCTATTCATTCTTTTTTTTTTTACAGATCACATTACAATCAGCATCTCTTTTCACAAAAGAAAAAAAAAATCTGGTTGGTTTCTTGTCTTGTGTATTAAAATAATTTTAAAATCAATTTTCGGATGCTATTTTTAAATGAGCAAATAGGGAACACCTAACTACCTGATTATATTTCATATGAAAGTAAAGATAAAAAATGATTCAGTATTAACACTAGAAAGACTGGAACTTAGTATATATCAATATTGCTCAAAAGCAGTCACAATGACTGTATTGTGAAAGTATAACTAATGTGTAAAGAAATTTGATTTCAATTAATTTTTAATATTTTTTATATTATTTAGCCACAATAAAAAAATTATATGTTGTCATATAAAAGTCACAAAATTCTAAGAAATTGTGTCATCATATACATCATTGTTTTTCTAATTGAAATTTAAAAGCAGTCAAAAGGACGTCCTTGGGGCAATCTAGTGTTAAGTAAAAAATAGACGCACTTTTACTAGAATAAAATAAAATGTATATCGCTTTGCATGTCCACAATAGCAAATTACGTATTGAAAAAGAATAACTAATACAAACTGTCTGTATTCAACAGTTAAAAAAAAAAATTTTTTTTTTTTTTTAAATAAATTTTCTGAGCTTATTCCAATTTATGTCAACATGGTTCGATGGTCTTTTTAAAAAGTAAACAAAAACAGAATTAGCTGCCTTAACTAACGAAATTTTTCAAAAATGATTTTTTTAAATTTCATCCCTTTTATGATTTTCTATCTTACTATATTTATTGAAATTGGATAATAATAATTAAAAAAACGGCTATTAATATAATATTGAAACTGAAAATGCAATAGCAGAAATACGGAGCATAAACGGTAACTACGGTGCCGCATATTGTCATACCAATTATTGGTGACTGAGCTTGCTTTTTTCGAGAAATAGCACATACGATACTCAAGTTATGACTAGAGAGATGAGTGAGGAAGTATTTCAATACGTAATGGAGCTCAGGGAAGAGTTTTTAATCTTATCTCACAACAGAGATGGAAATAATTGTAATACTTCCGCTGCCTAATATGCCGAAATGTTCCGAACTCAAACTTATGGTGGTTCGTGTGATCTGAAATTATTACTAAAATTCAAAATATAAATTATTTTGACAATGTCGCGGACATCTCTTGAAAATAGTTAAAATTAAAATCACAGAACTTTCCGCTCGAACAACAGGTAGACAATGAAAAAATTCGGTTAATATATTGTTTTAAAATTAATTAAAGAGTTATGATTGGAGGGTTTGAAGAATTCGAATATTTAAATACAGTTTGCGGCAGTACTGAAATTAAAAGTATATTTCTCATGTCTATGAATCTCAAATGAGAGATATGAAGATATTAAAATGAAAGGGAGGAAAAAACCTGTTTTCGTAATTTTTATTTACCAATTCAGGGAATGGAAATAATACAAATAAAGTAATCGGAGCCACTTTTCCAAATTGTTCCAAAAAGCGTTTTCAAAGCAAAACACGAAAATTTCCGAGCAGGTTATAAAATGTGTTAGTAAATTGCAATGACATGTGGTTTGAAATTGGAAAAATTTTAAAAGTGCCTATTCGGAAACAACACTAAGTTATACTTCGAAGTAAAATTGTCACTTTTGGAAAAAGCGTGGCTTAGCATTATATCACCCTTAGACATTCATTAGCTGATTCCGAAGATACACAACCTTTAGTGGAAGTCTATTTTATTTTAAATATTTAAAACAATAATGAACAAATATCTAGTGGAAAAATAGCATTTTTTTTCTTCTAAATATTAAGAAGAGAATAATATAAAATGGAGAAATTCTAATAGTAATGATATATTTTTGTTTTTTAATGAAAGATAGCAAAATATTAATCAAGTGTTACCGAAAATTGAGGTAGTAGGAGTAAGTTTTGAATAATTTAAATCTTATTCAATCATATCTGAACAAGGTCCGATCAAGACAAATTCAGGCCCAAAAGGCACACAAAATTTTTCGGGCCCCTAACAAAACATTTTGAAATTAAATTTCTGAAGAGTAGTCCTAAATATATTATAATAGTATAGACAATATTATAACAATATTAAAAATATTATAACAATTAATTATAACAATATTATAACAATTAATTATAACAATTAATTATGACAATATTATAATAATTAATTATAACAATATTATAACAATTAATTATAAAAATATTATAACAATTAATTATAACAATATTATAACAATTAATTATAACAATATTATAACAATTAATTATAACAATGTTATAACAGACAATAAAAAGAATCTATTGAATTGCATGATTCAGGCGAAGCATTTTAAAAGCAGACAATTAATTGAATATTATTTTTCTAAGACGAAATTTACGCATCTAAATATTAAAGCAAAATATAAAACAATGAAACAATGTTGTATGAAAATAAAAATAATTTGGTGACCACAAACAATTGAAATCAGTAATTTTTGCTAAAAGTCACTACCACCTTCAATCTTCAGCTTTACATATTTTGTTAAGAATAAGCTTTTAGTTCTTGTTGACACTAGTCATTTATAAGAAACTTTGCGAATATGCATTCTCGTTGCATTTGCTCAAGCTGTTGGAGTAAAAATTGCACCAATTAAAATTCAGCTGTACTTTCGAATTTGATTAGTGCAATCTTTACACGAGTTTGGTTTATCACAATGTAAAGAAAATTTGAAATAAAAAATGTCTTTTTGGCGAAAAACTGTTTCTTTCCGTATTATTTTTTTAAAGAAAGTAACATTGTGGACATTTTAATAATTTTTGAGGCACCCCAGAAAGTGTGGGCCCTAGGCCCGTGCCTATTGGGCCTAGGCAATAATCAGGCCTTGCATCTGAATACGGGTACAACAGCTTAAGTAAGATTTATAAAGGAAAAAAAATTAGCTTTCATGTTGGATCACTGTTATTGGATCTGATTCATGAAAAAAAGTTAAATAACTTCTTACATATAATTCAAGAGAAATTTAAACCAATTGCTTTGTTAAAATTCATACGAACTTTTCAATATCCGTCATAAAGATAAGATTGAGAGTGTTCTAAAAATAACAGTAATAGATCATTCTCTTTTCTTTCTTAGAAATATTTCAATCCTTAGGTGATATCGAACTAAATAGATAACAGAAAACTATTAGTATAGAAGAGATTGTTCGAATGAGCGAGATGATTAATAATATCAGCAAAATTTTATCGTGAAGATCACAATTCAAATCCGTGGGTAAAAAAAAAATTTTTTTTTTTGCTATTTAGTTTTATTTACTCATGCTTATTTCTAGAAATTCGGAAACAATAGTACTTGCACTATCTTCTTTTTGGAAAGGATGTAGAAAAAAATTACCTAAAAGCATAAAATACATCATTAACACGTAAGCGGGTTCAAGGATGCTCAGATCAGAAAAATAGTTTCTGAATCACCCATTCACTGATTTGTCTTTTACTGATTAGCTAATTTCATTATTTCGCTCATTTTCTTCTCGTTTTTCTCCCCCTTATTCACTAGCTATATCAAGAATCACTCATAGTAACAGTATATTAAAACACATGTACTAAAATGTTGTCACAGTAAAGTAAAATATAATATTGTTAATAAAATGTAATAAAATATAAGTTTGCTACGAAATAACTATGCAAAAGATAAGATTCTCTTCCCCACTGGCTTTTACAGATTTAACCTCTCAACCAAGAGCAAAAATAGAGACAGGCTGCTTAATCAAACATTTAAAAAATAGTTTTCCCATAATCTGCTTTAATTCATTAAAATTTAAAACTTAAACCTTGATCACAATGCAATGCACGTGATTTATTCTAATTATATATTGTGATGATATAATTGGATACCAGCAAGTGACGTCATTGTGGATAAATCGTGGCATTTGCTGATTCAGAAGCCAATCAGGTTCGACGCACGTGTGACGTTACATACAGATATCCAATTAAATCTGATTTAAATCACATGTAGGTATAATCACTTCACTTCTCAAGTTGCATGTACCCAACTATCGAATAATATCATCATAATATGTTATTGCATATTCTGAAAGTAAAATATAATTTACAACGGTGCAGTAAATAAATTTTTTAAGCAAAATTTTAAAAAAAATAATCAAGTAGGTAATCAAAAGTTTTGCTTTATCATTATAATTTTAAAACCATTATGATACGTTTGATTTAATGATGATGATG